TCACTGCAGGGTCTCGAGTGCCTAGAACACTAACTGCCGTGTGCCAGTGACCAATAGAATGGGTGGAATTAATGCTTCAAAACTACATATAAAATGTTTAATACTTTAAGGATGTGAATTTGTCATCATGAACAACTTTGTTCAGAGGTTTACTAACAGCATAGTTTCATAACTATTATTCTCTAAATATTATATTAAGTAAATTTGATATTTTTCTTTGTGCAAGGAATTACTTTACATATTTTTAAGTTTAATTTCCAAGTTTTATTTTAGCCATTATGAAAATCCTAAGAAAATTCTTAAATAGGGATTGAATGCATTCAAGTTAGGGACTAGTCCAGAAAAGAAAGCACGAGTTGGTAAATTATGAAATAACATACTGCATTTAGTACACGTGTTACTCGAATAAGCCAAAGAAATGATATTACTACTAAAGTCTAAATTGGCTTTTTAAATTTTTTATACTAAAAATACTATTGTATTTCTGTCGTTTTCTTGTTTTGTTTTATAAACTTCTCTGTACCAAATATCTACTGTGTGAAACTTGATTACAACTCTACCCTCACTGCAGACTAAATCCCCTACAAGCAGAAGGTGGCTTTCCTTCCCAGGTAATGCTTCCACTCCTTGAACTCAACTTTGCTGTTCATCGGCTGGCCCTGCTCTCCTCTGTCTGCATTTTCCTAGAAGACAGCTACGCATTTTTTAACCTGATTTAATTTTGGTTTATTTGTGCTACGCATTTTTTAACCTGATTTAACTTTGGTTTATTTGTAAGTGCTGGGTCAACCGGTAATTTTGTTATAATTTCATGATTATCACAATTATGTTTTATTATTTTTAGTGCTTTTTACGATTTAGTTTGTCTTCTATCTTTTTAATTTTTTATGTTTTCTTTAGATTTTGTTGTTCTCTTTTAATATAAATGTGAGGTTTTTAATTCTATTTGTGAAACTTCTAGCATTTAAATGTTACTTAAATTACATTTCTCATTACATCAATTTCAGAATTTAAATTATGTTGACTCACTTATGAGAAAAAAGAAATTAATATTTCTATAAATATAAGAATTTTATAATTCTTCCATGTTTCTCATAACCTTTAGTATTTTTTGATATGGGCTTAAAATTTTATCTTAGTCTATTTGGGTTTCATTATTATACTTTTATCATTAAAACATTGGTTTTATTTTGAAATTTGAGTTATTTATGGAAAAATTGTACCTATGATTTCAAATCCAGAGGCAATTTTAAAAAATTGATAATTATCTATAATATGCTACCTTTTATGTACAAAAGAGGAAAAATTTAAAAATATACATGTATCTGCTGACCTATACAAAATAAATGTTTTGTTTATATACATTTTAGAAGTATATCACACAAACAATACATCAGACTAGATCATTTAGCTCACATCTTGGAAAAAATAATTTTTAAATTATTTAAAGGCTACAAATCTTTGACAATGCATCCTTGGGCTGAAGAATGAAAGGCTCTACAGAAATCTAAAGGGCAGGAAAGGAAGGAGCCCTGCGAGGTAACTGAGCCCAGAGCTGCATTTCCTTGAGGCAGGCCTGGATGTCCTGATGTGTCCCCAGGAAAGCAGTGTGACGCACAGGGGACAGGAGGTCAGACCTGGGACCCTGCAAGGAGGACATAGTCCCATAGGAGGCTCACTCCCCAGGGTCGGGACTGGCAATGGACTGCACTCATCTTGTTGGTTGAAGGACAAATACACTTAACCCTGTGTAAGGCCTGTGAGGAAACCGTATCATCTTGAAATTAGTACTAGAGGGAAAACATAAATCTACCCTTAGAAATCCTAATTGTGCATCATGTGGATTTGAGACTTGGATTCACTCCACTCTGTTGTCTGGAAAAAAAATCTCAGAATGGTTCTGAAAAATGGTTCTGAACTGAGAGTACCTTAACTGACGAGCAGAAACGAATTTATATCTATGCACCAGAGAGGAAGCAGAAACAAACTTCAACGTCAACCTAAAGAGTATTCATTTAAAGGCCTCAGAAACAGCAGGATTCACAGTAAAAACAAAACACAGCCATAAAACACGAGAGCAAGTAAGTCATAATAAATCACGAGAGCTAGACAAAACGAAAAACCCAAGAAACCATACATTCAGTAAGAATCTAAAATACATATGTCCACGGTGGCCATAACGTTCGTGTGCAATTTTAAATTGCACACTATTTTAAATCACACATGAACTTTATGGATACCCTGTACTTTAAGACATAAAAGGTAATATTTATCAACCTGAATTCTTTATCTAGCAAAATACATTTCCAGAAAATGGACAAAATATTTAGAGGAACAGTAACTAAAAGAGCTTCCCCATCAGCAAACGATCACTTCAGGAAATTCTCCAGGACACATATCAAATGAAAGAAAAATGATCTCAAGCAAAAGACTTAAGATTCAAGAAGAAATGAGGAACAAAGACAGAGGAAATTATGTAGATAAAACACCTGAGTGAATTTACGACTTCAGGTAATGTCCTATCTTCTTCCTACCCACAGAAATCTCTGGGTTAAGGAAGTGATCAGGGCCTACATACTTATGTAAAGTACTTAAAAAATAGAGTGAAAAAATACATAATTATCTGCCCAAATTATCCTCTTAGGCAGATAAGTTCTCTGCATTCGTGAAGCTTGTATTTTAGGGAGAAAGACAGATAAACAAATTGTCACACAAATTACAGATAAACATATAATTACAGACTCAGGTAAGTTCCATGAAGAAGAAACATATGACATTATGAAAGTAAAATATAGTGGGATCTGCTTTCGGAAGGCCAGAAAGAGCTACAATTCTGCTATACACTCTGCTATTCTAGAAATATTATGTTGAACAAGACAGACGAGGTCTGTAAGTTGCAGAAAGAATTAAGGAGCAAAGAGTCAGTGCCCCTGGAGGGACCCATGAAGGGTGATTAACTGACCGCAGGGGTTTAGACTAACACCTGAGGGGAGGGACCATCAGTCCCTTAATTAAGTTATGAAAGTGAAGAAATTAGAATTGATGTACACGGAATTACAGTTTAGACATGTAGACAGAAAAGCTTTCACGTATAAGGAAGCAACTTCACTAAGGTCAATGTATAGAGAAGTGTGCAAGTAATAAAGCAAAAAATACAGCCATGTGATTAAGGACGTGGGCTCTGGGATCTAAATCCAAGCTCCATGAAGTCAGCACTTTGGGAGCTCGTCCATATGGCCCTGGGCCTGTGGTCTGCAGACGTGCTCCCCTGCCCTTCTACACGTGGCAAAAGAGGCCCAGCCTGCAGTGGTGGCCCAAGCCTCAAGGTCCTTTTCACTTTTGTTCAGGTGAGCAGCTAGAATCACAGAGTCCAACAGTCACGTTTTAGCAGAGACTCTGAGGGACCAGCTAGGGTCACATGTCCACTCTGGATCTGGAGAACCAGGATCAAAAGAACAGGTTCTGGGATACAGACATGATTGCCATGAGAACTGAGATCAAAGAGAGAGGGTCTGGGGTACAGACGTGATTGCCACTGCCAAACCCAGGAGCGGCCTGGAGGTGGTCTGAGACGGAGTAATAGGACGCAAACTCCCACAATTGCATTGAGCTCACATACTTACCAGTCAACTATAAAAATAATGGCTAACTGTCTAAGGGAAAAGTCCTCATTTTTAATAAAAATTCCAATATTTTAGATATAATTTTTAAATGAATAGGAAAAATCCACTTAACATTTTAGTAGCTTAGTCATGAAGAATATTAACAGTGCCTAAAATATAACAGTTTAAAGCATTCAGAAGTGGCAGGAATAACCAAACAATGCATTTTACTAACATTCTTGCGGGTCTGCCAGCATGACAGACACTAAGACAAGAGCCAGAGAAGCACCGACACGAGCAAGGGAACGTCCTGGCCGTAGATGAGCTTCCATTCCTGCGAGTGAACGTAGGGTTATAACACAAGGAAGAGCTATGGCTACAGACAGGAAGAAGTGCCATCATGGCTAATTCCATCAGCCAATAAAGATTTGGTGTGCAACTACTTTGATGTTTTGCATAACTATTTAATTCGAGGATAGTATGAAACTCGCCAGAATGCTTTTTTTCTATTCCTGTTAATGTTTTATATAATCTAAATAGCACATATTTTGATTACTCAAGAATATAGATATCATACTACAAAAATACATCCCAATTCTCAAATAGCAATGCTTAACACATAAAAACTGCATAGTAAAAGGTTGCCAAATAAATGTACAAATGGGTTTTATATATTTAAACTATGAATATAAGTAGCATTGGCTCAGATTATGGCAAAATACATTATGCATGTGTTTGCAATACCATAAAAAAACTAAATGCCAGTTACTGAATATCTCAAAATACTTTTGAAAGCACCTGTATGTGTTTCATTTGACAGGCTGTGTGTGAGGTAAACTAGACCAGAAAATGCAGGACCAGCCTGTTGGTGGAAGCCTGGGAAAGTCACAGGTGAGAATCTCTATGCCCTGAATGGGCTGAGCCACAGACAAGGCGGCCCAGGGACCTGGACTCAGCAACTCTGCCCCAGGACTTTCATCAAAGGAGGGTCATCTTTAAAAACCCTAACAGTTACCCAGAAATGTTAAATTTCTGTTCTCACTTCATGCCACATAAATCACATGTAAGGGCGCACAGTGTCTCCCCACACATCCCACCCCATGGTGCTGAGACGACTTTTACACAAAACAGTAAGTGTAGAAAAACCATTCATGATAGAGGATCCCAAAAGACAAAGCAAAACTATTAAATCAAGAAATTATAGGAGTCTATGCCTAAATGTCCACATGTCAGTAAAATTCTTGACTGGTAATAACCACATAGAAACAAATTACAAATTAGGTTTAAATTACTTAGTTATGAAATGTCTATTAAGTTGTTTATAACTGAAGATTTTTACAATAAAGAGCTTATGATATTTTGTATCTAGAGCACCAAAATCTAAATTTAGATACTTACATTATTACATTCTCCAAGGAAGTACAGTGCAAATCCGTCAGCATTTGTGGCTGCCAAAGTAATAAAAAGAGAAGAAACCAATATCAGTGCAAGAATATCACACATATGAATTCTCTCAAGTGAGACTCAGAGATGAGGTCTTCTGAATCTATCTGGTGACATAACCAAGGGTCACACAGTAAACACAGTGCAGTAATTCATGGCTCTCCTCAGTAACAGGGGTGGAATGTCTTCTATATTTTTCATCAGTGATTCCAAATCTTTTTTTTTTTTATTGCAAATCTTAAGACGTGACATCCTCTAAGCACACAGCAGTAAACACACTATGTAATAAAATATTAAAAACCAGAAATGATCTTCACTATATTGAATACCCATTGACCACGCCCCAAATGGACAATGTCCACACGTGCACGTTACCAGTGAAGGGAGCACAATGCAGTCACCCGAAATTGCTTCAAGGTCGTCTGAAGGAAGTCATCATGGTAGGCAATGGCATTAGTCTTGGGAGAATTGCCTGAATTTAACCCCCTCTTAAATCCTTTTTGTCTTTGGGTCTTTGGGTAAGATATTTAACCTCTCTGTCACACAGGTTCCTCATCAGTAACATGGGGACAACAACAGAGACTACCTCATGAGGTTGTAATGAAAGTGAGTTAAGACAAATAAAGTGTGTATGTACTAAGCACATAAAAATGTCATCACTATTGTTGTAGCATTAGTATTTTTTATCTTCAAATAAAAAACCCAAAAGATATCTTTCTAAAAAAATCATGTGTTGTAAAAAAATACAACTTTGTAAAAAACAATTTTCTGATATAACTTTTCCCATTTTAATTACAATATAAACCACTTCTTGTATAGTCTATACAATTGTCAGCAACCCAAGTAAATTTAAAATGTTTATTCTCCCATAAAATTTAAGCATTTCCTTTATAAAGATATGATTGAATTCAATAAAACTATGCTCTCTAAAGAAAACAAGGGACTAATCAGAGGGCACCTCACTTATCCCAATTATACACCAGGCAGATAATTATTTGGAATTAGCTAATTTAGAAATTTTTAGGTTTGACTCATTCTGGTAGTTTCACAAAAACATACTTTCATTTAACTTAGTCTGGTAATAGAAGTAAATAAATGACTTTCATCTGCCTCTTAGTAAGTAAATTAGTTTATGACTTTTTGTGAAAGAATCTTGGTCCAATTTTTCTAACAGGAATAAAAAACGTTTCTTACCTATTTTAATAATGCTGCTCAGTTCATAGAGAAGTAGCTGGTTGTCTCCTCCTGTGTCCAGCCGTTGTTCTATATAGCTGTTTAATTCATACACAACTCCCTGCATATTTGTATCTTGGTACTTTGAATAAAAAATAACAAAAATAAAGACCATAGTTAAAAAAAAACTATAATAAAAATTCCTTAGTGTGTAAAACATATGACGGCACGTCCTGGCCATTTGCTATGCTGTGTAACATAGCTGGGGGCTGACGGCCTTCTCTTTAGTCTCGGGATCCTACTTGCTTTGTTGAACACCCAACCACAGTAAACTGGCCTTCAACCCAGTTTTTCAACTTTTTGTTGCTAAAAATTTATCTGGTCAACAGTCCTAACTTCCCAGTTATTTTCTAGCTCCAGACTTTTTCTCAGTCTTACTGATATGCAGGTACCAGATGACAGTCAAAATTTACATAAAAAATCATGAGCACTTGAAATTCTCATGCTCCAAGACATGCCAGTGTTTCAGGGGTTCACGAAAACCCAGGCTGCTTTCTTTATCATCTGTAAACAAGATCCTATCTATTTAAGCTTTTTTATGTTTTTAATAAATCCAGATATTCTACTCTAACATAACATTTTTTTCTTACCACTTATTCAGACTACTAGTTCTGTATTTTCTTTAACCCAAAGTCCTGGGAAAGAGCTTATCTGAGAACAAAGTGAACTGAGCCAAGAGAGAGTGACAGATGAATGACAGGCCTTGAACCCCTGGATCTCGCCATGCACAAGCCTTCATGCCTAAAATCCTGTCACTAAACATGTCTTTCACACTAACCACAACATTCCCTGTAGACTTCACTTTTCCTACAAGAGAAAGAAGCTTTGCCTAGTTCGAGGTGGGTTTTCAGTCCTGCTGCCGTCTAAGTATATACCTGCCTCTGACTGTAATTCTGAGACTTTAGTAGCGGCTGCATGCAGGGTGGAGGTCAGCAGCCAGATGGTCTCCATCTCTTTTAGACAGGAAATGGTTTATCACAAACAAGTGAGAACAAGAAAACATTCTGGGACACGCAGTTTATCATGTTCATTTCACTTCTCTAGGAGTTGGATTTCTCATTTGTATGAGAAGAATGAATTATACTATCTTAAAAATACAACATTAAATTCCTATGATAATCTATGACCTAGATTTTATTTTCCTTGTTTATATCAATTTTCAAATTCTAATCTTTAACCTAATTGAGTACGTTAGCACATCTTGTTTTGTTTTGTTACTGATTACAACTGTATAAATATTATTAACAGCAAAATGCTTTCCCATCTCTTCTATAATATATTGATATAAATAACTCTAAGATATTAAGGGCCTATCTACATAGTTAATGAATCATTCAAACAACAAAATACTGAAAAACTTAAATTTACATGTAAATGTAAAATAATAAGCGTAATTCTTATTTGGTAGCCTGATGACTTTGGGACTCATCGTACTGCTATAAAAGGAAAGTCAGAGTTAACAAATGATACCAAATTTCAGACCACATACTTCAGAGCTGCTCTTCTGGAAACCACATAGAACGCTTACTGAGGAATCAATTCAGGTTCACAGAATCAAGTCTCAAGTCTGTGGCTGGACTAATAGAAAATTACAATGGCATGCTAATAAAGATATCAAGAGCCTGTATTTCTACAGTATGTTTAACTTCACTAAGTCCTTCCTCCGTCTTTCTTATAAGAACCTTTAAGAAGTTTACACAGAGTATCACTGAGGCATTCATAATTCAAAACGAGCTAGAATGCCAAGGTAGCGTAAGCTGGACACTACACAATTTCCCAGAACTTGGAATTAAAATGGACACCACAATTATCACTTTATGTTTCTTGCTGATTTCATGCAGTGCTTGTTTTTTATATGAGCAACTACTAAAAATATAGCTTCACAAAGTTGCTTCAATGAAACAACTATATTGATTTGACATTTAAAAAGGAACAATTTCAAGCTAACACTGAAGCTGTTGACATTATGTCAAGTTCTGTCCAATAGATGTCTCTGTGTTTCCCGTGAAATAGTAATATCTCCTGAATATCCTGTGGGTTTGCTATAGTGCCTCAAGCAACGTAGATGGATACCACAGAAAAGCCACTCTCTTGCTCAGAGGGAAATATCTGATAAGATACAATGGTAATGAGTGAACCAGTATTAATCTTTGGGTCAGAAAGAAATGAAGAGGTGGTCTAGCCAGGAGAACAGACGTTCCCACTGTCAGAGTGAGCTAGGCGTTTACCCGCAGGTTGGAAGACCACTGAGCCAGAGGAGTTCAGAGGTAATTCAAGAATAAAATGGAAGCTTGTGATCAGGGTTAGTCCTGAGAGCTCCTGATCCCATGGGGAAGCTCCAGTGCCCTGAAGAGCAACAGTCTGCTAGAAAACGTATGACAAAGGTGAGTAGGATCACACAGCTAACAGCAGGAAAGGGATCTTTCTGTTTCTAGTATAAGCCCCAATATTTAAATATCTTTCCCTCATCACTCTTTAGATTTGTGTCTTTTGTATCTTTTTTTCTAACATTTTATTTTGACAAAAATTCAATTTTATAGAAAACCGCAAGAACAGTAGAAGAAATACCTGTGTACCCTTTACCCCAAATTTTCCTATGTTGAAATCCAAACCCCCAATGTGATGGAGACATTAGGAGGTGGTCCTTTGGGGTAGTCACTGTTTTGTGAGAACAGAGACCTCAAGTCTGGGATTAGGGTCTTCCTGGAAGAGACTTCAGGATCCTCCCCGACACTTTCCACCACATGAAGTTATAGCAAGAAGATGGCTGCCTACAAACCAGGAACTGGGCCCACACCAGACGTCAAATCTGCCAGCAATTTGATCTTGGACTTCACAGCCTCCAGAACTGCGAGAAATAAATTTCTGAAGTTTATAAGCCACTCAGCCTATGGAACTCTGTTGCAGCTGCTGAACTAAGAAATCAAGATTTACCAATAATTTGTATTTTAGCTTATTTCCTTTAACATTCTCAGTAAACTCTATCAATTGGTCTAAACACACACATTTTAGTAATGAGGATATTTAATATTTAAGAGGAAATCGGTGTGTGTGCTCATTTACCTTGAAAGCTTTAGTGTGCATTTCCTTAAAAAATAAAGATAAAAAAAGACTATTCTCTTACAAATGCAATGGAAAATAATAATCTTGGGAGAGCCCCCTCAATTTCTTATGTGAAAGGGAAAGTCAAGCCTGGTGGCTGAGTCATGCAACACCCCCTTCCACATGAAGAGCTGTTACAATATGCATTAGCCACAATCCATGGAAAGATAAAAAGTACCCATTATCTACAAAGATGCCCCACAGTTCACTCCTAAGGAAATATTTTGCTGGTCTCCAAAAACAAGGACATGAAAATTAAAACGTTAGGTCTACAGGCTAAGACCACTTTAAAATTAAATTCTGCTCGATTCTACACTAATACTATTGATTACAAGTTTATCTTCCCAAGTGCAGAACAGAGACAACACAAGATCAATCATTCTTCCACGTACCCAGGACATCTGTATAACTGATTCTTCTTTCGCACCCTTTTTCTCTTCCAACGTTCACTGTATCTTATGTAAACTGTGGATCTCTCAGGCTTCATAAGAATATAACCATTTGCCTCACCACCCATCCCCTCCCCCTTTTCTTTCTGTATGCCCTATGCCCTCTGATCCTCTAAAATACTGAAGTGCCCAAATTCCTCTTCAGAAAAAACAGGCACAGGTGCTTCTGTGGGGTTATGTTTTCCCCTAGTAATATCCTTAAACTTTGGCTTAACAAAGTTTATTGATTGAAACTTTGTCTCACTCATTTGTTTGGGGTTGTTATGAGTTAGAATAGAGGAAATGATCAGAAAATTTAACATTACTACAAAAATATTAGCTAATTAAACATCCACATTCACATTTCATCCACTGTCCTGATACTGTCTATTACAGCTACCCACCACCCAGCTTTAGTCCAAATTCAAATCCCAGATCACATAGGACACTTAGCCGTCATGTCTCTTCAGTATCTTTCACTGAACCACAGTTCCTCAGCCTTTTTTTGAACTTGAAGCTTTTGAAGAACACAGCCAGTTTGGATCTGTCTGATGTTTTCTCAAGATCAGATTGAGGTTCCACATTTTTTTCCAGGAATACAACAAAGTGATGAAGGTACAGTGCTATCAGCCCTTCTGTATTTATTATTTGGCATTTTACTGGGAAGAAGAGCTCTCCATTTCCCTCACTCATTCAGTCATAGGAATATGGACTCAGTATTTTATCCAATAGAGTATCACCCGTTACTGTTGCCATTTAATCTGATGCTCATATTATCATACGAGGCCAGCAGAAATTCCTTCAGGCTAGTTTCTGCTTCCTTTCACATGTCCTCATCATTCTCTCAACTTCCTTACCTTCTTGTCTCGTACTTCACCAGCCCTTGAAGCTGCCATTTATAATTCTAATTTCAAAGAAACCACAGTTCTTTTCAGTAAAGAACAGTATTTAAAATCCAAGAGCTAGAGCTATATCACACCGCTGCCATTGCTTCTAAGCTTCTCATTTATATAAACATGATATACATAAGAAGACCTCATATAAGGACACACACAGGTACATGTAAATGTATGTATAGAATTCTTATGTACTGATCTCCTTGTATACCCATCTACAAAGAGGGATTAAAAACCTATGACCTTATCCTGATACCTTCACTTTCAACCCAACACCACAGTGTACATTTGAGTATTCCTCATTTCCAAGTATGTAATTACCTTAGTCAACAGAAAGAAATCTGGCAAGATACTTAATACATTTTCTCAAGTCTGGAATACACAGAGGTAGTTTCAGCACTGCTAAATTATACCACTGCAAATAATAAACCCACTAACTAGATGTTAATATTTAATAGTCTTAAAGGCAAAATTTATAAACACTGAAATATATAATTCATTATATTTTGACAAATGGGTAAATCCTTGTAACATATATCCTGTCAAGATACAGAACACTTAATGTCTTCATAAAGTCCCTCCCACAGGCCTTTTTAATCCATCCCCATCCCCAAGACAACCACTCTTTGTGACTTTTTTCCACCGCAGATGAATTG